GTTTTGTTTATAGCTGTAAAAAAGTGGAACTCTGTGAAAGTCCAGTTGGAGATTGATGAAACAGCTACATTCTTACAAATTAAAATGAGCAATTGCTAAAAAGAATGAGGAAACTGTATGTGCATGAGTATAGAAAGATGTCGAAGATATATGGAGTATGAAGCAACTTGCAAAATATCATATACAGTGTGTGAAAGAGCACATATGCAAATATATATATGCACGTACAAACGCAAAGAGTCACTAAAAAGTTCACAGTAGGTAGCTGTGGGTGGTGTGACTTTGAGTAATTTGTATTTTCTTATTATGAATTTCTCTTCAGCTTGAATTTTTTTCAATGAGTATATATTGTTTTTATAGTAATAAAAAAGCTATTTTTAAAAGGTGAAGAAAAGAATGGGTCATGGGGAAGAATTAGATATCCATAACTTGTAGTTCTGTGTCCTGGAATTTAGTCTAAGACCACAGTATACGTAATAATGTATGAACTGGGATGATTATCATAGCAATATTCATGATATTGAAAGTTAATAAACATTAATGTCCTATTTAAATAAATACACTAGAATTAGACATTATTAATGTAGAAATATATTAACTTGGAATATTTCACAGTATTATTGGTAAGTGAAACAAAAGGCAACTAAATAATTTTATACACATTTTGGATTTATTCATATTCACATATATATAGAATAGAAAAAAGTCCGAAAGGATATATGCCAAAATGTATACTGCGGTAACTAGTGATTCTTATTTTTCTTCCCTACATTTTCAAATGCTTCTACAATAAACGAGTATTATTTATGTACTTTTTTTCTTTTAAGTTTTAAAAACGTCCCTTATAGACCTTTCAGACTTTAAAATAATGCAAGGTAGTTATAATGATACTAATCTGTGAAAAACAAAGGAATGAGAATCTCAGCCCTTTGCTCCAGCATCAAATTACCACCAGGAGACCCCCGGAAAGCCCCTGCAGCTGACCTGCAGCATGTTGTAAAGTAATGAATGCCACACTGATGCAAAACAAACTCAGGAAACCCAGGGTACCTATTCTGATTTTGTGTCCTGCTATGTGCGAGGTTATAAAACATACTGGCTCAGATTACAGGCTAAGCATGACAAGTCCCTCTGCTGCAACCTAACAAAGGAATTTACAGAATGAGAAATTTACACATTTCGTTTCCCAGGGTAGAATGAATTACAGAAGCAAAGGGCCCACAGTACGGTTAAGTCCTTGCCTGTCACTCTCCTACATGCTTCTGAATTATGCCTTATACACAGTTCCCATGACACAATGTACCTATTACTATTTTAAACCAAGATAAACTAATATTTTTTAAAGGTGACTAGAAGGAGAAGTGAGAAGAAGTGCATTTGTAACAGAGTCAAACTCTTTGTATATTTTCAGGTGAACTGGGGGATGCCAGACCTCTCTCCCCCAACCCTCCCTCCCTCAGATCATTATGGCTGATAACAATAGTTTTACTTTCCCGGGTAATGTAGATGACACATTTTTCCTGTAGCCTGTCTTCCTGTAAAGTGCAGGAATTCCTGCACCTTCTGGGTGCCCTTCCTGTTAACTTACATTTCAGATTTCCTCAAAAGGCATTCTACCACTTTAATATTTGAAAAATGTCAGCTCAACCCCAGATAGCTAATATAAACAAGCTGAAAAGCATACCACCTAAAGTTACAACTGTGGAAAACAAAATTTCTTTTTAAGAAATTCTTTCTCGGAATCTCACTGTTGGTAAGGCTGGAAAGAAGTAACCCAGTCCTTCCAGCTCCCAGGGAGTCTGTAATTCTTTTGCCTCTGCTGTGCCTTAAATTAGAGGTCTGTAAAACGGAATTATAGTGATCTAGAAAGTTCGTAAAGGTCCTTGAATTGAACATGTTGTTAAAATCTTCAATACTATGAGGGTATAGCCACCTTTCACTTTTCCTCCCATTTCATTTGGTTATAGTATTACAGAGAAGTTTGGTACTGCAGAAAAACAAAAACAAAAACAAAAACAAAACACTGTCTTGGCCATTTGAGAATACCGTAGCTGAATTAGGCCAGTTCCACATTTACAGCCCAGGCCAAAAGTCTTTGCCATTTCTGAAATGATCACACACTTCCTTCTATCAAAAACTTTCCTTTTGGACAGGAATCCCATGTTCACACCAGATGCACCTTCCAAAGGGGACCCAATTAAGAAAACTATTTGGATAAATGGGAATTAATGTAAAGAACCACCAGCACCTGACCTACTATGGGGGCACCCCTAATGGAAGAGTGCCACGCTAATATGTTCTTCAGTTTCCCAACTTCTTCTGCTAGGAGGGAGCCGCCTTAGGAGTGAGCCCCCCAAAATGCACAAAGAAACCTGATTGAGTTTAAACCCTAAGGTTCAAAGATAAGATCACTAGAGCACCCCCTTCCTATCTCCCAGAGAGATCACTGCCATCTCTAAACTCCAAATGCACCATTTTGCTTCACTATCTATGCAATTATCTTATATCACAGTGATTTGCATACGTGCTTTCTTTCACCAACTACATGGTAAATTCCTTGAAGGAAACAACTACACGTAAAATATTTTTGTATGTCCCCAAATCCTGTGCACTACAAACACACACACACACACACATCTCATAATATATTTATTCATATATTAAGCTGACCTGAATGAATGAGTGAATGCACACCAAATACAGAGTAACTAGATGCAATCTCTCTCATACATCAAAGCCTGGAATGCCCTCCTAAGCTATTATTTCTATGCTCAATTAAAAGGTTGTCGGTTTTCCCGATATTAAGGAACATTGGCAGCTCATAATGCCAATTCCTAGGTACTTCGGCACTCTTACTTAGCTTTTCAGATTTCCATTTTTTCCCCTAATATCCAAAGAAAAGAAGAGCCCTACTTTGAATTCTTGAGAATATATATTACTTCCTTCTGGGGCTGAGATGTATGATTCCCATCAGGTAGAACTAAAAAGTGACACAACAACTCTCCCAAAAGTAGCAGAACGCTGATGAGACACTTGAATTTCACTGGATCTTACTTACCTAATGCCCTGGGTAGCCTAACTCACCTTGTGCTGAGCTCACCTCTCCTTTCCATACATTCTCACAGGGCATATGCTTTCTCTGTGCTCAATTTGTTCTGAAACAAGTGACTTACAGTCCTAGGGCCACCTGACAACACCCCCTCAGCTCTCTAATGCCATGTCAGGGTTTTTATATTTTTAATCCCCTCCCCAGCATGACATTACGCCTGCAAAATACAACTGTGTAAAAAGAATATTTTTAAGAACAAAAAAAGAAAGAAAGAAAGAAAGAAAACAACCATAACCCTGAACTTCTGACCTATTACAGCTGACTAAATATATGCAATTACACACTTAAAAGATTTCATTATGGTTGTCAATGAAACAGTGCAGTCCTCCCACATTGGCGTAATGCTTAAAAGTACAATTTTTCTCCCAGTATTTTCCCTCGAGATGCAAAGCATCTCCCAAATGGGAAGACATAAAACCTCGATGTCCTCATTGCTGCTTCTAAATACTGTGAACCAATAAGGAATTGGTGTAAAGTGCAAAATCTCGGAAGAGAAAGACTTCTTGTCTGCTTTTTTCTAAAATGCTATTATTCACCTTTACTTCCTTTCAAGATCAGAAGTTGCTTAATGTTCAAAATGATACCAATGGAAATTTAACTAAATACTAGCACCAACAATTCATTCCCAAAGGAATATAAGATTACATTAATTTCCTACTAGTATAACTCAAGTTTTACCTTTCATTTTCATCTACAGACTTTTTAAAAGTTTGTATTCCTGTTGCACGTAAAATCACCTATTATATGTGTGCATACTAAAGAATTTTACAATTATATAAAGCATTGCACATTTAGACGCTACCAACCTGCTCTATCTCTCCTGACTGTGCAAAAGGCAAAAAGAGCTCAGTAATCCTAGCAGAAGAATGCAAATAACGTCAATGCACAGCTGAACTGCAAGCCCTGCCTTACAGGAACTCTCTGTGTCTGCAAAAAAAAAAAAAAAAAAAAAAAAAGAGACACATACTAAACAGGAAATGCAACTGAGATGTGGAAAACCTCAAACTTAAAAATGCAATCGCCAGGCGAAAATTGCATCCATGCATTCATAAATGCATGCACAACCCTTTGCATTTTTGCAAGTAATGCAAATAGGCTCTTACCTTTCGACTGAGACATTTTCCCCTTTCCTTTGATGGGGGAGGGGAGCACAAAAGACTTTGCCTTGCTTCTCTTCTGTAGCTAGTTTTGCAACAAAGATGCAAGCTGCAGGCGTGCAATCTTCATGCAAGTGAAGTTTCTCTTGACCGAGGCAGCAGATGGACTTTCAGGGAATCCAGATGGAAATGCACACCTTGCAAAACAGACTGGAAAGTGATTTTTCCCCCAGTTGCAACGTTAGGGAAGGCTGTGCTGCAGCTACATGATGGGCCAGGGCTGGCAGCTAAAAGCTCCAAACTTGGAACTGAGTATCTTAGTGCGCAGACGTCCTTCCTGCGAAGGGCGCGGGGGCCGCTGGGAAATGTAGTTCCCGAGCGGAGTCCACGGGGCTCTGATTTAAGGACACGTGGTCGCGCGGGTCGCTGAGCGGGGTGATTGGGAGCAACATAGGTTGCATCCAGGTAAACAAGTCATCGACGCACTCGGTACTAAGTGATGGGAGAAAAAGGCAAGGCCCAGGGGAGCGGGCATTTACCTTCTCCAAAAGCCCCTGAAACAACAGCCAAAAAAACATATCAGTTTGGCTAAAAACCACTCGGCCCGCTCAGAAAGTCAGTTTCGGGGTTCAGGTGTTTGCAGGGCAGCACCTGTTGGACGGTTCCTGCCCGTAGACGTTTTATTCCTCTCAAACGTGCATTTTAAAAAATCTTTTTCTCGCCTGGAGAATTTGCTGGTGACCTGGCTGGGCGGAGGTAACAGCAGAGGAGATGCGAAGGATCCAGGTCGGTTACAATTCAGTCCTTAGGCGGAGTGGAGGTGGGGGGATGGGGAGTTCTCATTTCTTGAAGGGTTAAAGAGAAAGTTCCGCTGTTGGTGTGTCAAAGCAAACTTTATCAAAGTTAAAATGTTTCGATGCTTTTTTCTCACCTGGGTGGGAGGAAAGTCCCTGGCCTCAGGGAGAAAGTGGGTGGTCATCTTAAATTAACAAAATCAAATAACTTGAATCTATTCAACAAAATTTGCAGACTTTTGCTGAGCTCCCAGGGTGTGCCAGGCACCTTTCCAGGACCTTGGGTCATCCCGTTGTCATGTCTTGCGCACAGCTAGGACCTGGACACCATCCTGGCAGAGAATAGGGTCACCCCTTCTCAGGGAAGCAGAGAGGCATAGAATATTCCATTAGTAAGGGGACCTGGGCTGAAATGAGCTCAGACTCCTACTTCATCGAGTGGACCAGACTCAGAAATGTGCTTTTCAGGTACAGAGGGAGGAATTGAGGGTGTGGGGCTGCTGAGGTGTGAATAAGCACAGAAGTCTGCAGAGCACCTCTTCAGGGGCCGGCAAGGCTGCCTGCTGCATTGTATGCAGAAGTGGGAGTGGGTGGAATTTACCAGTGGGGGCTGTACAGGGCCTTAGGGTCAGGCCAGAGGTTTGGACTTTCTTTATTCTGCAGATACTTGCAGGGTGGTGAAAGGGCTTTGAAAAGGGGTGTAACTGAATCAAAGCATTGTTTTAAGAAGGTAAATTTGCCCTCAGCGATCAAGGTGAGTTGAAACTAGGAGAGGCTGGAGATAGGTCAGGTCAGTAGCAAAAGGTGAAAAGACGCACTTTGAAAGAGTGTTCGGCTGTATTTGATGACTGCTGATGAACGCTGTTGGAATTTTATTAAGAATTCTAAGAAGCCAGGGCCTTCTGAGTACTGGATGAATCAGAGGGAAGAAGGCTACCATGTTTCAGCTACAAATCAGCAAATCAGCTCTTAAAACAAATATGCAATAGGTCATGGAACTAACATTCATTTACTTAAGTTGATCCCCTCTGCTGACATTAATGAGAATTAATCAAGGTCACCTCATGTTCATATTAGCTTCTGCCTCAGAAAGGCAGAGATCTCTGTTCCATGAGCTCAGACAGGAAGACTTGCTAATTCACTTTGTTTCCCCCTCCTTCTGGGCGAATCCGTGCCGTCTGTTCCTCCCTTTCTTATACACACACACGATCTCAGCCTCATCGAACCAGTATTGTTTCCTCTAAGTCTCATTTAAGCAAGAGACGTGTGGGCACGGAGATCCATTTTAATGCGTCCGGGTCACTCTCCCTGAGCATCGATGGAGCAGCTGCTGTGCGCCAGGCCCTGGGTCAGCTCCTGGAGCTGCTCGGAGACTCAGCCCAGGCAAGGCCTGAACAGCCGCCTAGGACTCATTTCCATTTGCATTTTATGTGCTCAGCAGCACTGCTCTTAAGTCGCCCTAGACTCCCATCTACGGAAGAGCTCTAATCACATCGTGTCTGGCGCATTTTGCCGCCACTGTGCTTGTAGTTTCTCTGCACAGGCGTGCATGGTTCACAGCTGGCAAATGGCTTGTGTCCTGCAAGTGAGTCTGTAATTCATATTCCCATAGAAACAGTGATATGTTTAATAGCCAGTGCACATCTACGCTCACACACCCACACCTATGCAAAACACCTTTGACCATAAATTGAACCGTACATTTAAAAGTTGCAACATGTCTCATTTTTCTTTCTGGGAAAAACATATTTTGAATTTCCACAGGGAACTCAACCTCTCTGTAAAGTCTCAGATTCCCAGAGAAAAAGTTCTTCTTCTTCTTGCCTTGGTGGTAAAAGGTTTCCTCCGCCTCATTCCTGGGTGGAAGAAGAGGTGGTACCTCTGTACAGATGTGAGCCTTTCTTCTTCTTGCCCGTTTGTGGCAATGCTCCTAGGAAGAGAATCCCTCCCACGGTGGGAATGGCAAAAGCCAAATCTGCAGCACATTAGGCGTTTATCTTGAGGTGACCTGTGCTCCTACCTCGAACCCATCATCTTTGAAGTGGTCTGTACTTCCCATCTTTCTAAAATGCGAGTTTGCTGCACTCTCCCCCCAGCTTCTAGTTCCCTTCGAGGTCACTGCCAGACTCTCAGGCTTGGTATAATTGGCCCCTCAAGACCTGCTTCCTGCTTACTCTGCCACTTCATTCTCACCCTGTGTTGATGCTACAGCCAGAAGCCAGGTTTGCTCCCTCCTTGCTTCTAGATACACTGCTCCCTCTGCCTGGCAAGCCTTACCCATTCTCTTCTCGGCTCCTTCGGATTTGTCCTTGAAGACTCTGCTTGGCAGGCCCTTCCTTTCGGCCACCTCCTGGGATGCATCACCCTGTGGCCACTTTAAGTGTGAACGAGGGTATTCCCTAATTCTGTAGCACCCTGCCCACAGCTGTCTCGCAACACTCACCCTAAGGCAGGCAGGTGTTCACGTTCGTATGTGTCTCCCCCAGGAGACTGAACTGCTGGAGATCAGAGACTAATCTCTGTGTTCCCCATGTCCAGCATCTAGCATACAATGCTCACTCAAATGCACGCTGAAATAGGGAAAGGAGTAGATGGAAGAGGGCCTGTCACCTCGATGACCTGGAATAACTAGATGCCAGCGACAGAGTTAACACCTGCAGGGGAAACTGGAACACCTGGGAAGGGCCCTTTGCTGTCAGGTTAGAGGTATGAGGTGCTGGGAAGGAGGCCCTTAGGTTAGGTCCGACTGGCTCTGAAGGAATTGCTCTAGAGGGTTACGTGGGCTGGAGAAGGCAGGGGCTGGGGGTAGAATGTCTCAACCGAGGGTGACTTTTTACCCCCAGGGAACATTTGACAATGTCTGGAGATGGTTTTAGTTGTCACAACCAAGGGGTGGTGGTGATTGTGGCATCTAGTGGGTAGAGATGAGGGATGCCGGCAGTTGTACTGCAGTACATGGGAAGCCTCCACCAACAAACAGTTGTCTGGTCCAAATCATCTGGTACTGCATTTGAGAAACCCTGCTGGGTAGTAGTACCATGAGAAGTTACCTATGCTCTATTTTTTTAAGTTCATGTAAAGCTAATGAGATTTGGTAAGGTGTAACTTTTTTTTTTTTTTTTTTTTTGGCCAAACCACACGGCTTCTGGGATCTTGGCTCCCCGACCAGGGATTGAACCCGGGCCCTTGGTGGTGAAAGCATGGAGTCCTAACCACTGGACCACCAGGGAATTCCCAAGGTGTAACTTTTGAGTCCTAACCACTGGACCACCAGGGAATTCCCAAGGTGTAACTTTTGGCGTAAGAAATCTGGAATCTAGGAGATGTGAGTTCGAGTCCTGGCAGTAGAAAAGTTAGCTGTGTCTTCTAAGGCAAACACTTCACCTTCCTGGACCTCTTCTCGTTCCACTAAAATAAGGAGGGTCAGACTAAGGCCCCTTCCAGTTTTAACAGTTCGTATCTGTGAACCCAGCTCAGATGTCTGATTAAGACCACTCATGATTTGAAGAGAGTCGTGATCATACAGCCTGTTTTTCACATTGGCTACATGTCCTTCTGTTCAGGAATTAGAAGGGTTCCTGATCCCCTGCTCTAGCAAGACAGCCAGTGACCACCATGACAACATCACTTCGGAGGTGAGACAGGAAATACTCCTATTACAGTTTGAAACATTGCCGCTCAGGTCGCAATACTCACCTGCATGTGACATTTATGAATGTTTTCCAACAGTGTCCACTAGGTCTCAGGAACAAGGGAAAGGAAGGCACCAAAGGTAAAGCTAAGAGTTCAGGTCTGAATATCTGCTTTTCTAGATCTTAGAAAATTGTGGTATAAATAGTGTGTTATGTATAATATATAATGAAGTCTGTTGAGGATCTCCCCACATGGGGGATTGGTTTAGGGGACTGGGTGATGAGTTGTGCTTATGCAGTATCTTTTTATTTATGTATTTATTTTTTATTTTTAAAACAATTTATTTTATTTTGTTTATTTATTTTTGACTGTGTTGGGTCTTCATTGCTGCGTGTGGGCTTTCTCTAGTTGTGGCGAGCGGGGGCTACTCTTCGTCGAGGTGCACGGGCTTCTCACCGCGGTGGCTTCTCTTGTTGCGAAGCATGGGCGCTAGGTGCGTGGGCTTCAGTAGTTCTGGCGCACGGGTTCAGTAGTTGTGGCTCACGGGCTGTAGAGCTCAGGCTCAGTAGTTGTGGTGCACGGGCTTAGTTGCTCCGTGGCATGTGGGATCTTCCCGGACCAGGGCTCAAACCCGTGTACCCTGCATTGGCAGGCGGATTCTTAACCACTGTGCCACCAGGGAAGCCCTACAGTATCTTTAAGTACATTTTTTTTTACTGTATCAAAATATCACAGTGAATTATGTCTACTGGCAGAAATTCTAGAAATCCCAAAATAGATTCAGCTGGCCTTCCATTGTCCTCCCCAATATGGCGCAACCATTCCTGTTCAGCCTTCTCTTTCTCTCTCTCTGTCTCTCTCTCTCTCTCTCTCTGTCTCGTCTACTCTACGCTTCATTTGTTTAAACAGTCTGGTCAAAACAGGATTACTTATCTTACTGGAGACATGAGTTTACATGTTACCATTTCTGTTTGTTAACTCGTGCTATTCTCTGTCTTCACCTTTCTCTGGTCCCCACCTGAGTCTTCGTTTTTCCAAATTCTACCTTTCGAAGGTTCAAGGTCATCTCTGCCGTGAAGTTGTCTTTGATCACATGGACAAAGTATGATCCCTGGTCTGAGAAGCTTAAAATCCTGAGGCTAATTTTAATAACATTTTTGTAATATTTTAAGGTTTACAGGCTCTTTCCGTCCTCTCTACATCATTTTATCCTTACAATGACACTGTGAAATACATTGTCCCAACATCTCAGTTTATGCTGATCACCTCATGTTGTTGCTTCCTTTGGCCAAGGTGGAAGAACGTGATTTAAAACTGTCTTGACTGCAGATGTAAAAACTTGTCTTCTGATCCCCAGTTCCTTCCTTTAAGCGGTCCAGTCTTGTCTTAAGCTAAGTGACTTTTAATAAATGCCCTGCCTTCTTCAGGCTAAGTGTAGTCTGGTAACATTTTGCCTCATTTTGTATGCGTTATTAATGGGACAAGCACAGTTCAGGACTTACGAAGTCCCTAGTAAATCAGTATATCTCCTTTACACGCTGCACCTTAGCCGATACACTGAAAATTCGGTAAATGCTGGACTATTTGAGGATGAGTTAGAAACACTGATATAAGGCAGTGTTGTGCCCTTCAAGGCTCCTTGATCTGTTTACATTGATATTAATAGATGGTTCTGGGCTTCAGTCACAGGCCTGAATAATTCAGGTCAAACTGACCTGCTGCACTGCTTTAAAAAACTATAAAATATTCTGGGAAATATTTTAGATGGGTGATATATGCAAGTTATAGAAAAAGTTCAGAAGTCCACAGAAAATTAAGAAACTGTCTGAACTACAGTGATGTAGAAATAATTAGAGTCAATATAATAAATCAGCTTGTTCTTAAATTATTCCATTTGGATTAGGGTCCGAAGGGATTGTTTTATTAGTAACAGCCTATGGCAGAATCATGGAAAATACTACCAGTTTTTCATATTTACTCTCTTTCTGAGATGGGTAGACTAATCATTTTTATCTGTCAGCCAAACTCCTAAAACAGTGGGTTCAATGTATTCTTTAAATTAATATATTGCATAACTGAAAAGTATAAGTAGTATGAAATTGTATAATATTAGAAATTAGCTAGTTGAGGCTCTAATGAACACCTGATTATGGTATTTGGGGCACTGGCGTGAGTTACATGCCTCAAACCTGTCTGTAACTTTGTTTCCTACAGTATAAGGAGTGAAACAGCAGAGATACATTAGACAGTAGTCTACTGCCGCTGGAAGTCTTTGGAAATTATTCTAGAGCCCTTTCCAGCAGCCTTACCTACTGGTAATTTACCTACAAGGGAATTGAAGTGAACCCCAAAACCTGCTCACTCGCTAAAGACTAGAGGTTTCCACTTCACAGGGCCTTATTTCTCCTTTTGTTGCTGTTTTTTTTTTTTTAATCCAAATAAACATCAAAATGCATTTATTAAACGTGTTGGGGGCATGTTGCCAAATCAGATGCTACTGTACGTGAGGAAACTGTGGAGTATGGTCACACCATCTGGCACTGTGAGTGAGTTTTGGAATGCTGTGGAAACTTCAAAGAAAAATTTAGGAGATTTTGTGTATAATTTTCTTAAACGTATTTCCAGGAGACCCGTGATCTAGCAAACTCATTCTGTAGGGTTTCAACAGACATTTCAATGATTTTTTTTTTATACACCCAGATAGTGCTTTGTGAAAAATATAATGCTTGTCTCTTAGCTTTTAATGACTCATTAATTTTGTGTAAAATAGAGCATATGCTACATCATAATTTTAGTTCTTATCTTAATGAGGTAGCAAAGCAAAGCGCCTCTCAGTTTGAAGTTAGGGAAACTGAAGTACATCCATATGTGTGTGTTTGTGACGTTACAGGTATAATCAGGAAAGGAAGCAGAGCGCTTCTACACGTGCTTATGACATCTAACTACTAAGCTAGGATAAAAAAAATTATAACTCACAGGAAGTGAGTCAAAAGGCGCCTCAAATGTAAAATGCATTGCTCTGTGTATTCCTGTGTCTGTTAATGCCTGTTTCTTTTTTCCTCAACATTGGAGGAGTCAAGTCAATTCAGATTTTAGTTTGGTGAGCTGAAGGCACTGTGTTAGTTTGCAGACTGAGAACCCTCATTGTCACAGTTTTCAGTGACCTGATTTATATGATGTTGACCTGGGAGCAATACCAAGGTGAAACTGAAACCATTACTAGCTATTTTCGCTGTTATTTTTAAAATTAAGTATCAGAGAAGCAGAGGTTTCCAAAATACGATTAAAACAAGATTACACTTATTTGGATGTTACCGACATATTAATACACCTTCCAACTCAGATACATAAAGCTTGTGCTCTATAAAGTTGTTTAATTATTTCAGGTTCAAGTCTTTTTATAACCAGTAGCCATGGACTATTTTTCAAGGGCAAGGATGAGTCTGAAATACGGAATTTACTGACCAATGATGCCATTCAAGTGTCCTTCTCATTCTGTGTTTCATGTGTTCTGTTCCATACCCATTTTTGATAGTGTAGCAACAGATATTACATTAAAAAAATCATTCTAAGGATTCCTGCTAGCTCTTTTCTCAGCCATTCACGTGTAAATTGGGAAGGGAATTTGAGTAAGTAAATTAATACCTATCCTACCTGTTTTTAAAAGTTATGTTAATGGAAGAGTCAAATATGATGACTGTTTCTTAATTTCAAGTGTTCTGTTGAAACCAGTTTAGCTTGGAAGAGATAGAAAGATTCAGAATGTTCACATGTTATATTACAATATAAGTATTTCATGAGAATTGGTAAATATGGTCAGACTCTGAGAAAAATGAAAGGGAATCGGATAATTTGGAGTGTATTTGATCTACTTATAACTTATACCTCAAACCCTAAATTAATACACAGAAAAAGCGAAGTCATCAATTTTAGATTAAATAAATTATTTCAGGTATATATGATGGAAAAGTATATAAGCTTCTCTGTTATCTCACTTATAATCGACATCGTTTTCATTCAACTGAACAGTTGCTGATTGAGGACTTAAAGACAGTTCAGCTGATGGGATACCGTTCGTTGTGATTTAGGCTGTAAATATTGTGAAGAATTAGGTGCAATAAGCATTCAAGTGCATGTGAATTTTGGACCCCAGTTTTACGTTCTGAAGACTTTGGTAGAAATAGTAAAGTGTCAAATGCCAAGAATATACCATTGGAATATATATTTTTCTGTACAGTATTCCAAAGAAGCAGATAAATTGACAACTCTAGTCCTTGCTTCTATGATCAATTCCAGTTTCCATTATCTTCTTGTAGTTGTTCGTAGGTGTAACTTGACTATGCTATACCTACATAGTTTGGCCACAGACTCTGGAGCCAGACTGCCTGGGTTGGACTCCCAGCTGTAGTTACTAGTTCTGTGACTTGTTACTAATTACTAGTTACCAGTTACTAGTTCTGTGACAGGCTAAACAGATCACTTTTCTATGCCTCAGTTTCCTACCTGTACAAAGGCAATGATAGTAGTACCTACCTCATGGGGTCGTTGAGAAGACTAACTGAATTAATACACTTAAAGCTCTAAGAAGAGAATCTGATCCATGATATATGCTCAGTGGCTATTAGCTACTGGAGCTTTTCTTACTATTATGGCTATTACATTTCCAAGCATTGGTTCCTTTCTTGAGAATGAAGATACTGTAGTTGAAATAGAAGAACACTGAGATGTAAGAACATGTGTCCTACCCAATGGTGATTAAAAAAAAAAAAACCTTTTAAGACAGGAGATAAGCAAGCTATGATCTTAGAGGAATGTTTCCACCAACCTAAGGACATAAGAACAGAAATGCTTAGTTTAATGAAAGAGAAAGGGAGAAGACATATTTTATTATTGTGGCAAATCAGAGCTCTGTTGGATGCTTGTGAAGAGGGATGGAGACCATCTGGAGAAAACAATTCCACTCCACTGTGTGGACTGGGTCGAAGGACGGCTGAATAGCTAGGGCATGAATGATGTAGGCTGTTGACCATAGCGTGTCACAGCCTTGTAAAGCAAACGGCAGGGGGCAGAGTGGTAGTTAATGAGAGGTGGAAATGGTTGTCAGACTTCAGTGCTCAGCTTTTATGATATGGTTTTCCTCATGAAAGAAATAGACTGATAACATTTTGGTCCTTTCCACTCATTTGAACGCATCAGGACCTTACTATTCTAAGTCCTTCCACTTCATTTATTCCATCTGCATATTTCTTATTCATTGCTTTTGTACTAACGTTTTACTTGTGACCGTTACTACTGGTTGCTACCTTTCTACTAATTAACTAATTAGCTCAATTTTAAAATTTACCTTAGGCATATTTTTTAAACCACCAAAATACATTTTCTGTGGTGGCCTAGTTACCTAATAACTGAATAGTAGAGGAGTTTAAGCATGTATTGGAGATATTTTATAATTTTAAAATGGAGAAATTCTCATTTATTGAGTCTATTTTAATTCTCACTTATTAGTTGAGTCTTTGTTTAAAATAACTGTTCAATACTACCTATCCAAAGTGATCCATGTGGATAGTTTGGAATTAGGCAGGGGTGAAAGAAGAGAACCAGAACACAAAGACAAATTAATTTTTTTATTAGCTAAAATATTTTCTTTTCCATCACAGTGAATTAAAAAAACGAACATAGAAAATAAGCGCACATTCTTCCTTTATCAGTGTTAAGAGAGGTCCAGACATGAGAACCATCCTGTAAGAATCTGCAGAATTTCAAAAGGACACCTAGGATTATATTGAATTTTTCAGAGTTCAGGAAAAGTTAAAAGTCTGACCTGTAAGTAGGCTGTGCTATTGCTTTCTTTCCATAATATTATTACTATTTTCTCCAGGTATTATGAATCATAAAGCTAAATTTTTGACCTTACTAAGAGAGTATACATTTAACCTTTTAAGTTTCATTGATATGGGTGAGTTATTTTAGCCATTTATGGTCTGTGCTGCTTTTGAGTAGATAGAGAGTGAAGAAAATAAAGTATTTTTAAGATCCCATGTTCACAGTGACTGAGATTCCTTCAAAGAAAAAAGTTTCTGCAGCAAGAGCTGAGCAAACCTCTGTGTCAGAGCACCTTCCAAAACCTGAATTGAGCCTTGTATCTTAAAAAGCAGTATTTTTAAAATAAGTCTTAAGGGGGATGAAGAGCTGAGCTGCGGTGGATGCTGTTCCAGTTGTCTCTTCAATCAATTTTGTATAATGCTTTGGAAGCAGAATAACAAGTAATGTGAAATCACGTTTCAAGAGCCTATACGTGCGCCCTCTTCATTCTATTTCCGTATTCCTTGGGATGGGCAATTTATGCAATGCACTTGTGAGACTCCAAGAACAAAGACCAATTTCCCTGAAGGGTATGAGCACTCTTGGATTTTACAAATGCCAAAAAACAAAAAAAAAATTTATTTTCATGTTGTCACGTTGAGATGATGAAGTGTGCCGGGTTCGTGCACAAGGAGCCTCAGGAAGTATGCCCGCTGTGCATCTGTTTTATTCCCAGATTCAGAAAGTGGATGCAGGCGGTTCTTAACAAGCATTGACAAGTAGTGATTAACAGTGAGTGCTGTGGAAGATAGAGGAAGGGTTTGGCATCATTCTGAACAGGAGTGTCTTTTATTCCTGAGGAAACAGGTATCCAACTGATCTGTGAGGATCCTCGGTCTAGGTTTCCAGATCGGGTCTTGAATCTCTGTGTCACTGGACTGAACCACCTGTTCTCTTCAAATGGAAGTGAGGAAAAGGTCAAGTAAGGACAATGTATTAATCCTTCTGGCACCTCCTAGCCAGGCTGCTTGTTCTGTTGTACTTTGGGGAGACGTGTAGGGCTGAGAGTAGAAATGCCACCTCTTTGGACCCCCTCATGTGACTCGACCCGTGACTGTGGCCTCCGAGCCTATGGTAGCCAGACAGGAGCCTCTGAAGTTCAAAAGCAGGCCTGTATCTTTGCTTGTCTGTTTGTTCCTTGAATGCTTACGTGGGTTTGTTTATTCTTCAAGGCACCAAGGGTGCCTTACGGGCAAGCTAGTTCCCTCCTGACGTGGGTAGAAACAGTGTTTGTGTTTAACACGTTCATAGCCACCTGACAGACAGTCAAATGTGGATTTGTGGATTGCAAGAAACACAGGTCCTTTTCAGCTTTCCTGTCTTTACGCGACATCTCACCTGAGTGAACAGAACACAGAGACTGGTTGCTGACGGTCTCCATGTGCCCCCCCTCAGGTGCCCCTGCCTTCGGGGGCACAGTCCTGCTTCAACTTGTTTCTGTCACATTCCAGACTGAGGGCAGAGTTCTCAAATGTGCACGCACAAACCCTTGCCCACTGGTCGCATTAGATAAAGCTGTAAATGCTCTTGTGTGCCTGCGTATAAACCGCCAGGAGAAAGGGGCTGGTACGGAACTAAGCCCTGATACAATTTCCGCCAGAAACAAAACATTGTGGTCTCAGTATTTTAGGCAGAAAGGTGCTTTTGCCCCTTTCGCTAAAGCTTGGGACCCCATTATAAGATCACAGAGGAAAATGAGACAGGAAAGGGTTTGAGATCCTAAACCCTTGTCTGTTAGACCTGCGTGCGGAAAATGAGGGCTGGTTTGAAAGTTTTCATTTCTTTCATTAGCTTAATGGCTGAGATGCTACTCTTCATCTCTGGCTGCTCAGAAGCCAGCAGGCTTATTCAGATATATCCAACTATCGGAGTCACCTCATTCTATGACTACATTTAACAGGCAAAAAAAAAAAAAAAAAAGAAGGAGGGGAGAATAAAAATGCAAGAACCTAAACTGGGACTATAAGAATGCTTTTAGGTCAGCTAGTGTGAAGTTTTCATTATAACTTCACAGATGGTCCAAACAGATGAAGGGGAGAAAGGATGGCTACAGAGATCTGGCAGTCGGCCACTCGTTTTAATGGTGTTTTCATTCATTCATTCAGCTTTGGAGGGAAAATGGAGTGAGGATGAGAATGAGCCTGGCTATCTCCCTTGATCATCTTCCTGAGAGATGTACCCGTCTGTGGTGAACAGGAAGAACTTTGCTGGTAAAATCAGTGTCGGCGGACCGTGTTCAGATGGGTGGTGATCACGGCGATCATCTTTCTTAAGGTTGCGTTCAAACTTCCTTTCCTTATATATCTACTTTGGAAACCCAAGAAGCCAGCAATGGTGCTGTAGCTGCACTGAGCCTTGGGTAAAGGAAAGGGTAGCCGGGGAGTGGGGGAGGGTCCCAGTAAGACCCTGATCATAATGGTCACTGATGGAGTTTATTTCTTTGTACTGTTTTTCAAACCTTCTTCAATGTTAAGGCTAATGAGTTCTGTAGATTCTTTCAGTTGTGTAATTTCTTAATACACTGCTGTGTTCCAGGGTATATGCCTGTTTTTTTTTTTTTTTTTTTTTTTTTTTTTTTTGTGGTACGCGGGCCTCCCACTGCCGTGGCCTCTCCCATTGCGGAGCACAGGCTTCAGACGCGCAGACTCAGCCGCCATGGCTCACGGGCCCAGTCGCTCCGCGGCATGTGGGATCTTCCCGGACCGGGGCACGAACCCGCGTCCCCTGCATCGGCAGGCAGACTCTCAACCACTGCGCCACCAGGGAAGCCCTGTTTTGTTTTGTTTTTGTTTTTTGGTAAAGGGAGTTATATGTTTTGTAGAAGTAGGCTGGATAGAAATGATAAACAAATGAAGAAATAAGCATCCTCATAGTTTATCTCTTCGATTGCATTGATCTTCACCTCAATTCACATCAGCAAACCTGGCCTCCTCATTCTTTTCTCCATCTCGAGGGCAGGGTTTCTCTACCCCGGCACTATTGACATTTTGGACCAGGTAGTTCTTTGTCATGGGGTGCTGTCCTTTGCACCCCTGACCTCTTCCCACTGGGCGCTGGCAGCAGGCTTCCTTGTTGTGACAACCAAACGTGTCTTCCAACACTGCCAAATGCCCCTTTTGGGGGCAAACTCACCCCTGATTGAGAACCACTGCTCTAGGGTGAACAGATTCTCCAAGATAATCCAAGGTTACATGTTTTCCCAAATACATATAGCATCTCTTTCTCTCTCAGAAGTGTCATAATTTGGACAGGGAATTAAATTGTTACCCAGCATGTCTCTGTAAACAGCAACTCCAGCTTCCCAGTTGCTCACGCCAGACCTTTGGAGACATCCTTAGCTCTGCTCATCGTCTCATAATCCCGGTCCACCGTTAGCGAATCCAGTTGAAGAAAACCACCTTCAAACAGGATCCAGCCCTTCTTTCCACATCCACTGCTAGCACACAGGTCCCAGCTACCTTCTCTGTCACCCAAAAGTACGTGTCCGTCGTCAATCTGCTAAAGCTGCCCTGTTTACTTAGCAAGTCCTGCTCTGCTCCAAATCCTTCAGCGGCTCCCCTTCCACTCAGAGTAAAAGCCAGAGCCCTCACAGCGGCCTCAGCGCAGCCTCACACGGCCCCCCCCCCCCCCCCCCCTCCCCCCCCCCCCCCCCCCCCCCGTCTGCTCCAGCGGCCTCTCTGACTGTCCCGTCGCTGTTGCAGCTCCACTGGCCTCTGCTGCGCCTTGAACACCCAGCCTGTCCTGATTCAGGGCCTTGCTGTCCGTCCGTGTGCCTACAGCCTCCCCCTCGCCCCACTCAGGTATCCACCCGGCCTCCTCCCTCACTTCTCAAGTCTCCGTTCTAAGATCCGCTTCACAGTGAAGCCTCCTCTGACCACCCTATTTCAAATCACACCCTAGTTCATCTCGTCTGATTTATTTTTGACCATCGCCTTTATCGCTATCTGACATACTAAAATTTTACCCATTTATTTATTGACTCACTTCCTGATTTGTTGCGTGTCTCTCAGAATTCTTTCGCAGACTCCACGAGGGCAGGGATTTTTCTGTTTTGTCCACTGTCCTGCACGCAGTGCTTTTAGCAGTTTTCCTAGAAAGCACGTCGTAGGCACACCATAAATACTGAAGGAATGTGATGATGAATGTATTCACTACTCACTTTCCTCCAGGCATCGGGCTAAATACTGAGTATAGGAAAGGAAGTGCAGCACTGCCCCTGCCCTTGAGAAGCTTACAGTCTCCTTAGCTCCTTAGCACTTCAGCAGTCGTACTGATGAACAGTGTAAATTGCAACCACGAGCCAAGCCCCTAACGTGAGCTTGAAATTCCAGCCAGAGCCCCAAATGTACAACCCACTGAATATGTTAACATCCTCTCATTTGGTAGGTCTTCAGTGGGTTTGGCTGCCTTTTAAAGAATGGATTAATAAAACCTTTCAGCTGTGGGGGGGAAGAGAGAAGCTTACAATCTCGTAGAGGACACATGCATGTAAATAAATCAGGGCAGCAGAGTGAGAGGCCTGCAGTAAAGAGAAGAACGCACGGATGCAACAGAGATAACAGGATGCACGAGTGCAGCAGAGACGGACAGGATGCAGGGATGCGGCCGAGAGGAGCAGGTGGTAGAGCATGAAGGATTGCCGTGTGTTGAGGAGGAGGTTGGGGCGAATGAAGGGCTAACACTTAAGACGCTCCTTCTTCCATTCGGTTTCACTCCGTTATCTGTGTAGCTGCTGCAAAGCAAACAGAGCGGGAATTGCAACGTCAAGGCACGGCTCCACCAGCGGCTCCTCGTCCTGCACACCTTCCCTGCCGGCTGGAACGCTTGCCCTTGAGCGTGGAGTGTGAGGCTCGTCGTAGAACGGCTCACCTGCCCACACTTTTCTGTTGCACTGCCCTCCAAACAGCCCTTCCTGCTAGCCAGACGGGTGAGAACAAGGTGTGTTGTCAACACTCCGAGGCTTTTCCTTGCTCCCGGATGCCCTCCGAGCCCACCTGCTCCACCTGTGACATGTCTCAAGATTCCACTGAAACGGTGGAGGACAAATGTATGGACGCCAAAGGGGAAGGTGGTGGGATGGGCGGAATTAAGAGACTGGGATTGACACACATACATTATTGATAACTATGTATAAAATAGACAACTGATGGGAACACACTGCATAGCACAGGGAACTCTACCTAATGCGCTGTGGTGACCTAAATGGGAGGGACGTCCAAAAGGGAGGGGAGATCTTTATGTGTAGGGCTGATTCATTTTGTTGTGCAGTGGAGGCTAACACAACATTGTAAAGCAACCATACTCCAGTAAAAATTTATTTAAAAATTTATTAAAAAGAGCAAAAAAAAAAAATTCCGCTGAAATGGAATAGCCTCTATGAAGCCTTCCTGGATGTCACCTTCCATCTGGGCACATTACCACATCCAAGGCCAAGGGCAGCTGCGTCAGACAGCTGGGAAGAGTAGGCATTTCTGAGGAGTATGAACCTAGTCTGCAGGTTTGGAAAACAGTACCGAAAAATAAATACCATCAGTCAAGACTGTGCGTCAACTTGGAGTAATTGTAGTCGGAGATCCCCATTCCTGGAGCAAAGACGTGACAGACCTGTCATAGATCAGTGTAAACAAGGAGACAGAACAGGCCCAGAGCCCGGAGAATAAAAGAAGAGGAAGGTTGGTACCGGATCAAAACATATCCCTCTTCGGCCTGAAGTTTAACCTGGGAATTAAGTTCTGGACTATACTATGCTTATGACTACGTGTTAATTGTGTATATATACAATTTATATATTTATCTTAGTAAACTATATAAAGTTTATTTCATGTTTTGGGTTTTTAATCTATAACTACTTTTTCCTATTATCATGGTAAAGTCGTGGGTAGAAAGTGCCCCGCTGAGTATTTTTAAAGGTAAATACCTCAATCAGGCAGACCAGAGTGGTGATTACAATCAAGATTCCAGTGACCAGAGTCGAACCAGTTGGGTGAGCAGCATGCTTTATAAAATGGTGTCTCTAGGGGACTTGCCTGGTGGCGCAGTGGTTAAGAATCCACCCGCCAATGCAGGGGACACAGGTTCGAGCCCTGGTCCGGGAAGATCCCACATGCCGCGGAGCAACTAAGCCCGTGCGCCACAACTACTGAGCCTGCGCTCTAGAGCCCGCGAGCCACGACTACTGAAGCCCGCATGCCTAGAGCCTGTGCTCCGCAACAAGAGAAGCCACCGCAAGGAGAAGCCCGCGCACCGCAACGAAGAGTAGCCCCCGCTCACCACATCTAGAGAAAGCCCGTGGGCAGCAACGAAGAGCCATCACAGCCAAAAATAAATAAATAAATAAATTTATTAAAAAATAAAATAAGATGGCATCTCTGTAGTACCTGTTACTCTTGACTGTTTATTCAATAATTGAATAATTCAATATTCAATCAGCATTCAGTTGAATAATTCAGTAACTGGAGGCCCAAGTGTCAGGCATTGTTCTGCTCTTGTAACGTTCTCAAGAACCTATGAATTAAGTTGTATCTTCTCCACTTGAGGATAACAAAGCTGACACTTAGGGAGGTTCAAGCACCTTCGCCAGACAGCAAGAAGAGGTCTCAAGACCCGAACCCCATCTGCTCCAAAGTCAAAGCTCACGCTTAGCTACAATGCACATCTGCCTCTGTGCTGCACCTCTGGGTGATTTCACTTCAGGGCATTGGTTTCTGAATTGAGGACCAGCTTTTGCATCAAGTGCACGCAGAGCGTGATGGTAATCTATCTGTCGTGAATCATGGTTAGTCACAGAAATTATTTATTCAATTTGTAGTCATCACACCCTGAACTCATTGAGATTAATGAGTGAAACGGCTGGTAATAATGGCGGCCTAATTGTTAGCTTGGGCAGGTGTACTGGAGCCTTGATATTTAATCACGTAATGTGCCTTTATGAGACTGAACAGTTGGAAGACCAGTATCAGCAGTTCCTGAAGGATGATTCCAAGAAGCAACTGACAAGACTCTGAAAATTCCCCTGGGTGTTATGGATTTAATTTTAAGTGAAACTGCAAGGCAATTAATTTTCTTGTAACTGAATTCCTTAATTATACATGCTTTCTGTTGTTTATTTATTTTTATTTAAAGGTTCACTGATTTCTCGCAAATATGTAGAAATATTGGTGCACGTGGAAAAGGACTGGAAGGTGATAGGCAAAAAAAGAAAATATTTTCGGTCTTAGGAGAGTATAGGGGAGCTCGGATGATTTTTCCCCTTTTTTCAAATTTTCAGTATTGTTTTAGTGGTTTCCCATTTTTAAAAGAAACAAATGTAAAGAAAGTGAAACTTACATTCATAGAAGAACACAGTGGGTTGGATTCTAACTATTGACTGTCTCTGTGGTGTTACACAAGTCACTTAATTCTGTACATTTAGAGTATTTTTACTATGTATGAAATAAATACCCTAATTTAGAAATTTGGATCCCAAGATATATATTTTAAATGTTTTCATCTCAATCTTTCATTAATTTTAAAATAGGCATTTTCTAGCCTGTTTTAAGTAGGACTATAATTCGTGTCTTGGGTGATACTTAATGCTGAAGGGAAACTGTTTATAGTCCTGCCATCTTGTTCTTTATCATTTGTTCTCTTGTAACAACACCCTTCCTCCCACTTACAAAACTCATGCAACTCACTCGCTTACTTCGATATCTGACGTTTTCACCTTTTTGGAATCTCTCTAAATTTCCTGACCAAAAAAAACAACTAGAAAAGCAGACCAGAGATCCACGGATGACCTCTATAAAAAAAAACTAGATTACAAATTATCCCCACTCTTTCTACTCCCAGTAGGATCCACTGGGGGCAGATCACCCATTGTGGGTTGAATTGTGTTCCCCAAAAGATACGTTCAAGTCCTAACCCCTGCGAAGTTGACCTGTTTGAGAATAGGGTCTTGGCAGATACAGTCAAGTTAAGACGAGGTCATGTTGGATTAATGTGGCCATAAGCCAATGAGTGATATCCTTGTAAAGCACAGGAAACTGGGGCACACAGAAGACGCACAGGGAGAAGGCCATATGATGACAGAGGCAGAGTTTGGAGTGATGCATCCATCTATAAACCAAGGAATGCCAAGGATTTCCAGCAACCATCAGAAGTAAAGAAGAAGCAGAGAAGCCTTCAGTAAGAGCACGGCCCTAACAATACCTCCATTTCAGATTTATGGCTTCCAGAACCGTGAGGGAATACATTTCTGTTGTTTTGAAGCCAGTTTGTGGTCATTTGTTACAACAGTCCTACACTGGGTGTTACGTCACAGAGACCTGCGAGATTCAGATGGAATCACCATCCGTGTGGGATGAAGCAAGGGAAGCAGTGTAGCATCTAATGACCTTGGTAACAGGAGGACCGCCAATCATGAACAGGTACTCACTGAGAGCAGCAGCCCAAACTGGCAGGGATTCTACTGGATTCAATTAGTGAGTGTGTGCAAGAGTCCGTGATAGGATAAGGTCTCAGGATGTCGAATGATACTTGAGGAATCCAGCCTACATAAACTTATGTAAAATTAGCACACCAACGTTCCCCTCCAGGGAATTTCTGCTTTGAACATGGTGGAGTTAACAGCCCACCCAGACTTCCTTTAGATAAACTCTGAGCAAAATACAAAAAAATGTCAACAAGCCAAAGCAAGCAGATTTTGGAAGAGAGGCAATACTTGGAGGGAGTGTATGGCTTGGTGGAAGGCTCCAATTTTTTTGTTTGTTTGGGGTTTTGTTTTTTTGTGTGTGTGTCACTTTACCCTGAGGGCATGGGCAGTCCCATTGGAAGTACAGGAGGAGTTTCCTCCTCTTTCTGGTCAGGTGAACCAGGGAAGGGACTCAGGGCAGTCAGAGCTTTCAGAGAGTGGGGAGGGAATCCCAGAAAGGAGAGGATGAGAGATGCAGGACCCCACAGTCTGTGTGAACACCTGCCACGTCCAGGGCTCAGCCTGGGATCACGCATGAGCAGAACAAACTTGAGTCAGTATGGACTGAGGGCCAAGGCACCACCTAACACAGGGCTGACAGTCTGCAGTTTGAGGAAAACCCAGTTAATTGCCTGCTGAAACGCAAATATCAACACTCTGAAGGAGTGCTATACTCTTGAAAAGGATGCGCATCCCATGGTCGTTTCGAGCACTGTTCTGCAAATGTCTGTTAGTTCAAGTTTTGTTAATCATGTTGTTTAAATCTTCTATCTGTCCTGACATTTTAATTTTTTTGTTGCATCAGTTACTAAAAGTGGGGGTTTTTTTGTCCCACAATATGATCTATGGATCTTTTTCTTTCTTCTGTGGTTCTTCATTCTTCCTTATATATTTTCAGGCTGTGTTATTAGGTGTACACAAAATGTAAAATGGTTACCTTCCCTTTATTAAATGTTTTATCCTTATGAGGTGGTCCACTTTATCCCTAGTAACGCTTTTTATCTTAACGTCTACATTTTTTTAATATCAATCTGACTACCCCAGCTGCCTTGTGCTTTACACACTCAAATGCATATGAGTATATTTAGCTTCTTATTTTCCCTTCTTGGGATGTACTGAGCTACTTAAGTCTATGGATTAGTGACCTCATTAGTTCTGGATAATTCTCAGCCATTATCTCTTCAAATATGGCCTCTGTGTCTTCCCTCTCCTTCTATAACTAATCAAACATATGTTAGAATTCTCTGCCTCTCTTAAGCTCTTTTCTGTAATTTTCCACATTTTTTTTTAACTCTGTATTAAAATTCTGGATAAATACTTCAATCTTCCCATTAACTAATTCTTCTACTTTGTGTTGTCTGCTTCTTCACAGATTTATTGAGCTTTTAGTTTATTTTTAATTTTTATTGGCTGTGCCTTGCAGCTTGTGGGATCTTAGTTCCCTGACCAGGGATTGAACCCGGGCCCTCGGCAATGAAATGCAGAGTCTTAACCACTGGACCACCAGGGAATTCCCTATTGAGCTTTTAATTCTAGCTCTTATATATACGTTTTACTTTGAGACATGCCACTCGGTTCTTTTTCTAAACTGCAAGGTCATGCTTTTAGTTTCCTGCCAACTGCAGGTATTTTCCAAGCTTGTCATTTATTCCTTTAAACACTGAGGATGTTTGTCTTATAATCTGTATCTGGCTGTTCGTGGGGCTGTTTCTGCCGTCTCTTGTTTCTGCTGGTCATCATTCAT